AATTTTTCACTTAAAATAAATCCCGTTCAACTAGAAAAATTTACTTTCTACTGAAACCTAGAAAAAATCCTTAGTGTTAAGTAGTCTAAGCCAATAATGTTAAGTTGGCCCATAATGCCTAGGCATAATAGAGGCTCTCTTTGCATTGCAACCCACTATTGTAAATATAAAATCTCAATGTACTGTTTGCAGACATAAAATAAATAAATAAATAAATAAATATGCCACTTCTCCGACCATTGCATCAGTCTTTTCAAATCATTCTGGAGTGCTCTAGTGTCCTCATTAGAATGAATTGGCCGGCCTATTTTGGTGTCATCAGCAAATTTGCTTATGTCGCCATTTATTCCCTTATCTATGTCGTTTATGTAAATTGTGAACAACAACGGGCCCAACACTGACCCCTGCGGAACACCACTTGTGACTTGCCCCCATTCTGATTTCTCCCCTTTATGCAAACTCTCTGCTGCCTATTTGTCAGCCATGCCCCTACCCACGAAAAATTTCTCCTCCTATTCCGTGTGCCTTAAGTTTCCTCAATGTGGAACTCTATCGAAAGCCTTACTGAAGTCCATATACACAATATCATATTCATTACCATGATCTACCTCCTCAAACACCTTAGTGAAAAAAATTAGTAAATTCGTAAGACAGCAATGCCCCTTTGTAAAACCATGTTGAGATTCATTATGCCTATGAAGATGGCTACGAATTCCTTCGGCAATTATTGATTCTATAAACTTTCCCACTATGGAGGTAAGGCTTATTGGTCTATAGTTCGAAGCTGAGGACCTGTCACCTGCCTTGTAAATAGTAATTACATTTGCCATTTTCCACTTATCAGGCACTATGCCAGTTTGTAGTGATATGTTAAAAAGATTAGCCAAAGGTATACTAAGTTCCTCTTTACATTCCTTTAACACCCTTGCAAACAGTTCATCAGGGCCTGGGGATTTGCTAGGTATTAATTTCTCTATTTGTCTGAGGACCATGTCACTAGTTACTGCAATCGTGCATAGTTTATCGTCCTGTTCTACATAATCTATTATTTCAGGAATTTCGCTAGTATTTTCCTGGGTAAAAACTGAAAGGAAGTAGGTATTGAAAATTTCACACATACCTTATCACTGTCAGTGATCTGACCAGAGTTACTCTTAAGTGGGCCTATCTTGTCCCTAATCTTCCTTCTGTATACCTGAAAGAACCCTTTTGGGTTAGTCTTCGAATCCTTTGTGACCTTGACCTCATAATCCCTTTTTGCTTTTCTTATTCCTTTTTTTATTTCTCTCTTTAATTGAATATATTGATTTCTTAACTGCCCATCCCCTCTTCTGATACACCTATATATGCCTCTCTTTTGACCAATGAGATGTTTTAATCTATTGTTCATCCATTTGAGATCATTTTTATTAGATCTAATATCCCTACTCGGAACAAAAGTTGTCTGGGCAGCTAGAACTATGCTCTGAAAAATGTCATACTGGCAACCAAGATCACCTACCTGACCCATAGTCAGGTAATCCCAATTTAGCCCACCCAGGTAATTTTTCAGTCCCATGAAATTGGCCAAGCAAAAGTCTGGGACAGAGATTTGATTGCAGTTATCTGGGTAATTCCATGATATATTGAAACTAAGTGATTTGTGATTACTTTCCCCAAGCTCATCATTAACCTCAAGATTTTTAATTAGCAATTCTTTGTTGGCAAGAACCAAGTCAAGTAGATTGTTTCCTCTAGTTGGTTCTGTCACAAACTGTTTTTAAAAGCAGTCCTGAACCACATCAAGAAAGTCACTAGACTCAAGATTTCCTGTCATATTTTTTCAATCAATTTGTCTAAAGTTAAAATCTCCCATTAACACAACATTTTCATATCTAGATGCCTTATGAATTTCATCCCATAACAGCTTACTAAACTCCCTATCAAGGTTTGGGGGCCTATAAATCACACCCAAAATTAATTTGTCATGACCCTCGAGAAACTGTAGCCAGATTCTGTGTTTGATGTTTCTAATTTTATATCATGTCTAAGACAACATTTTAAATTATCTCTGACATACATCGCCACTCCACCGCCCTTCCTGTTGACCTTATCAGTGTGGAATAGTTTATAACCCTGTATGTTGCATTCAGAAGGCATTTCTCTATCATTCAAGTTGAACCAGGTCTCTGTTACACCAGTAATATCTATATTACCTGCACTTGCAAGTAATCTTAGCTCATCTATCTTATTTCTTAGACTCCTACTATTTGTATAGTAAACCTTAAGGGAGCTAGTCACTCAATGCCCTCTACTATCTCTCTCTGTTTGTTGATCAAGTGATTTACCTTTACTAGCAACTTTATTTTGAATATTGTCTTTTAAACATATCCTTGAGGTATCCTGGTAATATCTGCTGTTTTCAACCCTAATACTGCAGCCTGATTGCTTCCCACAAACACCCATACCTCTATAATCTATCAGTTTAAATTCCTAGACAAGTCATCAATTACCTGCTCAACTAAATTGGCTAATGCAACCACTCCAGCCCCAGAGAGATGAACCCCATCCCTTGTATACATATCACGTTTGTCATAGAATATGTCCCAGTTATCAATATGGGATTGCAAGTTTCTTGCAGTACCTGTCTAGCCAGCAATTTATACCATTTGCTCTAGACATCCATTCACTGCCCACTCCCTTTCTAGGCAAGATGCTACATATGATTGGGATCCTTCCCTTAGACCTGACTACTTCTATGGTTGACCTGTACTTATCCAGCAGCTCCTGTCTCCTGCCCTTTCCAATGTCATTACCCCCAGCACTAAGATAATGGGCTTGTTCCCATTACCTGACATAATATTATTCAACCTGATGACTATGTCACCAACACCAGCTCCTGGAAGGCACACCCTCTGTCTGACCTTTCTATCTCTGTTACAAAAAGCACAGTCCATATATCTTACCTGAGAATTTCTGACAATTAAAACATTCTTACCTTGATTAGCAGAGGACTCAGTGGTACCTTCAACCTCACTAACCACTGAAGTGCACTCGTCCTGGAGAACAGAGAATTGATTTCCTACCTTCACATCATCTCTGTTAACCCTCCTTTTCTTCCTTCTTCCTGAACTGTGAAGCACTTGCCATTTAAAGTGGCTGTCACTCTCAGTGCTGGTGACCATTTCCTCCTTTCCAGCTAAATCCTTCTTACACTCACTCCCAAACTCATCTAGGCGAAGCTTCAGTCTCCTATTTGCCTCCTGAAGAAGTGGAACCTCCTTCTTCAACACATTAACCTGAGATTCTAAAACACTACAACAAGCCATGGTGCTTGGTAACACCCCATGCTAACTCCCAGAGAGCTTAGGACAGATATGACCACACGTGACCACTGACCTCAGCGTACTGAGGCATAGGTAAGAAAGCTTTGATGCACGGCAGTGGGGGGAGGGCAGACATGAACTGTCGGAACTTCCCAAGAGGGAAGGGAAAAGGCAGATGCAAAATGAATGTCCAAGGGGAGCAACTGGAGAGAAGATCGGAGTGAATTCAATTCAATTCAATTCAAATTCAAAGTTTATTCTCTATAAGGATTACAATGCTGAATTTACAGAATTTGGTTATTGTGTGGTTTACATGTAGTTAAATAATGATTACAGAGTGTACCACTAGAACACCTAGCATGGCTAGGCATTTCGGGCAGACTTAGTTTAATTCTTTATTTTAAAATATTACAAATTATGAGGTAAGTTGGTATTATGGCTAAATGACTAAATACTAGTTTGTGAGTTTAGCAATGTGAATGCTTTTGTTTTGGCACAGTACATAGTTTCAGTATTGGAGTATCATAGGATTCATTATTTTAAGATTGAGATTAATATTTCTGTTTATGGTCAAATGGGTGAGTGAGTGTAAGTGTGAACCACCAGGTGGTATTCGTGTAGTTAGTTGATGGGGTGTATCAGGGAGATAAGATGTTTTCTAATGGTAGTTTTGAAGAGAAAATGGTCGGAGTAGGCAGGGGTGTTGAACAAACAGTGGATTCCTACTAAAGTCTGAGACTAACCTATACGTGGAAGGAACACAAAGATCGCAAGCGCGGACAAAATAACATGGACAATGAGTATCACGATGATCAGCCAGGGAAGGAACATTCGCCTCTGCATGGAGGCTTTTAACAGGGGATGAAGGGAAAAGGCCCCAAAAGTCCCAAAGGGAGACCTTAGGGATGAATGGGATCAAAACTTAGGAAAAGCTGGGGGAGAGGCCCAGAATAAAACTTGGTCACCATAATAAAACCTTGGACAAGACAAAGGTGGAATGAAAATTTGGAGGAGAGGTAACGATCTGCCCCCCAATAAATTGATGTGGGGAAAACCCTTTAAGGGAAATTTAGCCGCAAAGGGCAAGTTGTCTGTAAAGAAAAATGTGGGGTTTCACCCGGGGGAATCAAAAAAGCGGGCCAAAAAAACCCTGACAATACCCACATGCCAGAATAGGAAACCCCGAAAATTTATAAGGGAGTACCCGGGTTTTTAAAGAGGACGTCTTGTAAAGGGGAATAAATCGATTTTTATACTAGAAAATTTAAACCCCATGAAAAAAAAGTGGTCCAAGGGAGACTCGGTCAAACACAACCAGTAGGGGGGCTGCAACTATTTGGGACAGTCACCCCCCAAGTAAGCAATAGCGAAGTCATCAACATAGCGCGACCAAATAGGGCAAGGAAAAACAGAAGGTAGATCATTTATAGCTAAGAAAAAAGAGAAATGGGGGACCCCAACCTTGGGGGACTCCCTCGGCTTGTACAAAGCCCGAGGAAAGCGAGGGCCCAAAATACGGCCGCAAAATGGTCTATGGACAAGAAAAGTGATGAATTTGGTAGATTACCGTGGAGGCCTAAGAAGGGGTTTTTTTTTCCCCAAGAATGTTAAAGGGTACCTCCAAGGGGTGCCCATATGCCTTCTTGTTAAAAAAAAACCCCGATTCAAAAAAGCTTAGAGATCTCCAGTGAATATAAAAGGACTGCCCTTCTGGGCACCACCTGTTATTTGGGGTTTTTCGAACAAGTAGTCATTTATCCTTGCCCAAATTTAAACCATTAAAATTCAGTATGGTTCAATAGTGCTTTAGGATTACAACTGGTGGGCTACAAAACTAAAATTTAAAAAAAAAATTTAAAATTTATTAAGTATAAGTTGTCTAGGGTTTATATTTTTAAAAATTTTAAAATTTAAATTTTCCCAGCAATAAAAAATAAAATAATTTCGAGTTAAATATTATTGGCGAAAGAAAACATATCACATTAAAAATTTTAAAGTCCCGCAGGAAACATTAACTTTTTAAAAGATTTTTACAAATATGTAAAAGGTTTTGGAAAGCTTTAAGTGCTTTAAGTAAAATAGCTAGGTCTCAAGACCGAAAAAGCCCTTAAAACAATGACTGACAAAGTCCTCAAAAAAAACTAACTTTTTTAAAACCCGCCTGGCAACCCCAAAACATTTCTGCTTAAACAACAAAAAATGCAAATTCCCCAATAGCAAAGAAATTTTCAAGCAAACTGCGACACAAATCGGGAAAACTGGGGAAAAAATATAACGACACAAGTGGGGAAAACCATCTCAGACCCTCCAAAAAATTTTAAAAAAACTCCCATAATACTAAATCTTTTTTTCGAAATAGGTAAAATTTGTAACTGTGACAATACACGGGAAACCAGTAAAAATTAGGTCAAGCTTAGCTAAGACCTGAGAAAACTCAGAGTGCCCTTGTGACAACAACCTCAGTACAAACGTCGAAAGTCACTAAGTCTTTACAATGTTTCTGTGAAAAAATTTTCTACAGAAATTTCCAAAAAAATAATGAGACGGAAAAACTTCCAACCCCCAAAGCGGGGCTCCGCAAAACTGAAAAACTTCACGAGAGGTGAGGACCCCCCCCCTCGATCAGGATAGCTACGGGACAACTGCGGGCCAGAACCCGGCAGTTTTAAGAGCACAAGCGATAATTACGGGCGTTTGACAATCAAGCCTAACGAGCACTTTTTTAAAAACCCTTCCTAAAAACCAAAAGCTAAATAACAATATAACACCCAAAAAAAAAATTTTTAAAGTCAACATTTACGTTTTAAAGCTATTATCGAAAATTATAAGCAATATAAAATTAAATAAAAAGGGTAATAAAAAATTATATATACAAAATAATCATTGAAACCCTTTCCCGGGGGTTGAAACACTTCCTTAGATAAAAAAAAGCCCTGCAAGGACACAGGGGTTTGTTAGAAAAGGTTTTTCCCAATATACGTAGTACCCTTATTTGGAATAAGGGTGAAAAAGCAGGGGGGGCCCTTAGTAAAACCCAAATATTAGCGGGGGGGAAAGGGGGATTGTGAGTTTCTAAGAACCACATCAAATGTCTATTTACAATTGTTCCTTTCATTTTGGCAGACCACAATGGTCAGGGCAATGAGGCGATGGTGAGATGTGCATGCCCTGGGGCCCCCCCGGGGTTTTAAAAACGGTAAACAAAACCCGATTTCCATTGTTGAGGAAAACCCCGGGCTCCCAAATAACATTAAAAAAGATTAAAAGAAGGGTTTTTAAATTTGGAGATAAATGTAGCTTACCAAATGTGGATAAAATCAACCCCCTTTTCCCGATGGCGGGGAAAATTGGAAAGCGTGGACCCCAAAATTCAAAGGGGTTAAAAGGTTCGTTTTAGGGCACCAATCCATTGGGGGAGAAATCTAAGGGCAATTGCTTTTTGGGTTTGGCTTTAATCAAAAAATTGAGAGACAGAGGGGGAAGCCTTGGGGAAATACGGGCAAGAAAAGGCCCCGATTTCTGTGGAAAAATTCTAGGGGGTTCTGTGACATAAATCTCCAGAAACCTCCCAAAAGGGGAGCTAGGTCCAGAGTGTATTTTCCCCACACTTTTTCCCCGGGCACTTTTTTCCAAATGCGCACATAGGGGGAAACCTGAAGAAAGGGTTTAAAACGTGTGTCTGGGCCAAAACGGGGTTTTTTTGCATCGCGGGTGTGGTGAACAACCCCCCTTTGGGCCCGTTTTAAAAATCCAACAATGCCCCAAAAGGGTTTTGTTTTAAAATAAATTTAAGGCCCCATCACATTTTTTTTTAAGCGCACTGCAAAAGGCCATTTAGGAGACCCCCAAGGTTTTCAGTCTGAGAATGTACCTGATTTTTTGGGGGGGACAGAATGTGTCGCCGCAGTTAGGACAAGGTCAAAAATTTGGTGTCCCAGTTCACCCAATAAAAGGACGAAAGGGGGTCCCCGCAAAGGGGGTAAAGGGGAGTGTAATTTCTGGAAAAATTGCCAACGAAGGCTATGAAACAGTGGGAAATATTTTGAAAAGGAGGATGGGAAAAATTGATCACTACATGAAAATTCTGGAAAAAGAGCCCAAGCAATTTCAATGCAGTGAGCGAGGGAACAGATAAAAAGATCAATAAAGGAGAGGGGGAAGAGTATGAAGTCACAATGGGTAAAAGCACCTTTATTTAAAACATGAAGAGGATGAAAAATTGAAGTCCCCCAACTGATCCCACAAGAGTCGCAGTGGGACCCTCCCCACAGGTGATGGGGGCTTAAAATACCAACAACAAATGGGGGGCGTAAGGAAGAACTTAATGTGATACAAGATCAGAGTGAAAAATGGGGGGGAGAAAATAGAGAAAAACTGTAAACCATCGTGTGAATAATACGAGCTGCAGTAAAATACACCGGGGAATGAACAAAAGCTTGTTTGATACAGTAAAAAAAACTCGCACAAAAGTGTGTTTTTTCTTTAAAATGATTTGTCGGGAAAAAGTTTGGGGAAAGAATGTAACAGCCCCTTAGCCCGAAATTTGGGGCCCAAACCCTGCCCCCCACGGGGGAAATGGCCTTAGGGGGGTTATGGCCATTTTTGTTGAAAGAATTTTTTTTTTTTCTTTTTTTTTTTTTTTTTGTATCCCAAGCAGGTTTTTGAACCCTAGGTCATCAACTCCCCCAAAAGTGTGCTAGCGCCCATCTGTAGGGGGAGTGGTAAAAGGGCTAGGTTGGCACTACCTCCCCTAAATGGATGCTGACGAACTAATTGGGAAACCAGGGGGCTCCCGATTTTCTCGGCATATCTTTCATCTTTTTGTGTGGGGGGGGCTTTATTTTCATAATGTTGACCCCCACTTAACAGCATGTTTTATTTTTCCCACTCACAATTGGAAATTTTTCACACACATTCACTGTGTTTGAATACTATTTTTCATTTCACTATAAATTTAGTTTTAAAAATATCAAAAAATGTTAGCCCCTTTAAAGTTATAAGAATAGGTTTTTAAGCAAATTTTTTAAATCCCAAAAAAATAATTTTTTAAAGGATACAACTGATATAAAAAACTCAGATTGTGTTATACAAAGGGGGATACACACAATTTTTTATTTCTACTTTACTTTTATCTGTTATAGGGGACTTAAAACAAAAATTCCAAAAGTTAAGGGGGGGGGACAGGTGAAATTTCGCCTTAATTTAACTAGTAAAGACCACCCCTTACCCCCTTGATTATTCAGCTAAAATTTTTAGGAGTAGTGTGTGTTGAGCCGGATACAAATGCCTGAGCAACCTGATTGGGGGTTTTAGGGGGTATAGTGATTGGGAGATCCCACAACCCTGGTCTCGATGTCTAGGCTGCTTGGTGCACGCCACTCTATTTTTTTCCTTTTCATTGGGAGGAAAATGATGGCCCTTTAAAACCCCAGTAGAAATTGTCACAAACTCAAAATGTACTGCCACTGCAGACTCACTGTTTAGAAAACAGATGTCAAAAATATGAACATAAGAAAATAGTAGCACTTTTTCAGACCCACTGTCTTTAAACACAGATTCAAGTTTCGGGTAAAAAGATTTTAAAACAGAGAGGAGCAATGGGAAGGGGTTTCTCTTTTTACCCCCAGACCCAAACAAAAAAATTTTGAAAGTAAACGCACATTTGTGGTAAGTTACAAAATAAGAAAAAAAGAGAAGCGCTGCAAAAAAAGGACAGTTTAAAAATATAAAACCCCCTTTTGTTATGTAAAAGAAAAAATTTCAAAGAAAAATACAGCTAGTTAATGTATACAAATACATTAAAGTTTGTTATTTCCCAAAACCCAAAAAATTTATCCCCTTAATTTAAATTTTTTTGTCAAGATTTTTTGCTATGTGCACATTAAAAATAAAAGAAAAAAAAGGCACAAAAATGTGACGGAGCCCAAAATACAAATATCCCACACTGAAATTTATGCGGGTTTCAGTCCCAAATTTGGGCCCCCTTAAATAAAGAAATTACAGATGTTCATCGAAGGTGGTGATGAGGGGCCATGATAAAAGAAAATTTGGGGCTTTCCATTGGATTTAAAAACCAATTATCCCCCCCCCCCCCCAAATTTCCCCCAAATTTGGTAGAAACCCCTAGGGGTTTTTTTTTGCCCCTTTCCCATGATAAATTTTTCTAGTACCTGTACTATAGAAAAATCCTTTACAGGACCCCAATGGGTATACAGTGATTTAATCTGTCTGACCTTTTTTTTTGGGGTTTTCCTAGGTTCTTACACAAAAAACCATTTCCCCGGGCGGGGTTAGAACTGAAGGTTTTAAACCCCCCCCGTGGTTGGTTTGTTTGCAATCGTGTCAATTTTGATTTTGTGAGTTCATGCTCTCTACACATATGTAGTTTAGTACAGTTAGAGTTAAAAGGGGAGATGGGAAAAGAGGAAGGTGGGAACAACAAGTAAGAGGGGGGGGAAAGTGTATAAAAAAGGGAAAGGGGGAAGTTTGGGGGAGAATAAGCGACTAAATTGGGAGAAATGTTGGGGTAGTGCAAAGATGATAGTGGGGGGTTTAGGGGGGTTGGAAAAGTTTTAAAAAAGCAGTATTAGAATTTTGGGGGGAGAAAATTTGTGGTTATAGGAGGGGGGGGGCAGGAGGGAAAGGGGAGGACTGGTGGAATGATTTAAAATTTTAAAAGGGGTGATAAAAAGGAAAAAAGGGAGCTTATGAGAGGGGTTTTTTCAAAGCGAAGTGTTTAAAAAAGGGGCAGAGTATATGGAGATAAAAGAAAGGTGAAGAAAGTGGTGAAGAGTTTCAAAAAGGGGGAGCAATGATAGAGGGGAGAGGGACGTCCAAAAAATTTTAATGAAAATAAGAAAAAAAATTTTTGGGGTGAGTTAAACCCAAATTAAGAAAAACCCAGGGAAAAATATGGGAAATTTTTCAGTTAAAAAAAGAAATAGGGGATTTGTAATGGGGGGGAGGGGGGTATTAAGTAGATGGGGAGAAAATTTTGAGGAAAATTTTAAATGTTTTAGGAAGAAAAGGGAGGCTTTAAATTTATGCACTGGGCCCGGGAGGTATAACCATCTTTTAGGAGTGGGAAAAAGACAGAAAAGTAAGTGTGGTGGAGGTTTCGAGGCATTACTAGAATGAAAAGGGGGGTTAAAGCACTGGAAAATGTGGGGTCATGAAAAGAAATGTTTAAAAGGGAGGGGATGATTTAGTGTTTTTTAGTGGGTTGGTTTCTTTTGTTTAATAAAGTTGAAAGAGGGGGGAAAGGGCCCCAGGGAAATTTGGGGGATTGTATGTATTTGTCCCTTTATATAAAGGGGAGGGGACAGAAGAGATTTTAAAAAATTTTAGAGAATAAGTTTAAATGAGTAAAAACCCGGAAAAATATACAGTTTGGGTTTTTAATTGAAAAAATTAGAGGTTTAAAACAGAATATAGGGTTGCGGGTGAGCAGGGGGGTTCAAAAGTGGGGGAGGGGATGTTAGATCAAGGGTTTAAAAATTTAAGCAAATATGTGAACATTTTTTAGATAAAAAGGGAGGGAAAATTTTTTTGGGATTTATGGATTTAAAAAGGCAAAAGAAGAGTGGATGAGGAGCCCCAAAGTAGCAGATGTTGCAAGTATATGGAATAGGTGGTAAGTTTCTAAATGCTGTAAAGGCTTTTTTTGAAAGGGTAGTGAGGCTCAGGTTAGGGGGTGGAAAAGGAAAAAGGGAGAAAACTTCCCGGTTTAAAAATAGGTCTTAGACGGGATGTGTTGTCACCAGGTTTTTTAAAAATATTTATAGATGGGGGGTTGTAAAAAAGAAATAAATGCTAGGGTGTTTGGGAGAGGGGTGGGGTTAAATTTTTGGGGAAAAAAATTTAAAATTTGGGGAAATTGACACAGTTACTTTTTGCTGATGATACTGTGCTTATGGGAGATTCTAAAGAAAAATTGCAAAGGTTAGTGGATGAGTTTGAGAATGTGTGTAAAGGTAGAAAGTTGAAAGTGAACATAGAAAAGAGTAAGGTGATGAGGGTATCAAATGATTTAGATGAAGAAAAATTGGATATCAAATTGGGGAGGAGGAGTATGGAAGAAGTGAATGTTTTCAGATACTTGGGAGTTGACGTGTCGGCTGATGGATTTATGAAGGATGAGGTTAATCATAGAATTGATGAGGGAAAAAAGGTGAGTGGTGCGTTGAGGTATATGTGGAGTCAAAAAACGTTATCTATGGAGGCAAAGAAGGGAATGTATGAAAGTATAGTAGTACCAACACTCTTATATGGATGTGAAGCTTGGGTGGTAAATGCAGCAGCGAGGAGACGGTTGGAGGCAGTGGAGATGTCCTGTCTAAGGGCAATGTGTGGTGTAAATATTATGCAGAAAATTCGGAGTGTGGAAATTAGGAGAAGGTGTGGAGTTAATAAAAGCATTAATCAGAGGGCAGAAGAGGGGTTGTTGAGGTGGTTTGGTCATTTAGAGAGAATGGATCAAAGTAGAATGACATGGAAAGCATATAAATCTATAGGGGAAGGAAGGAGGGGTAGGGGTCGTCCTCGAAAGGGTTGGAAAGAGGGGGTAAAGGAGGTTTTGTGGGCGAGGGGCTTGGACTTCCAGCAAGCGTGCATGAGCGTGTTAGATAGGAGTGAATGGAGACGAATGATACTTGGGACCTGACGATCTGTTGGAGTGTGAGCAGGGTAATATTTAGTGAAGGGATTCAGGGAAACCGGTTATTTTCATATAGTTGGACTTGAGTCCTGGAAATGGGAAGTACAATGCCTGCACTTTAAAGGAGGGGTTTGGGATATTGGCAGTTTGGAGGGATATGTTGTGTATCTTTATACGTATATGCTTCTAAACTGTTGTATTCTGAGCTCCTCTGCAAAAGCAGTGATAATGTGTGAGTGTGGTGGAAGTGTTGAATGATGAAAGTATTTTCTTTTTGGGGATTTTCTTTCTTTTTTGGGTCACCCTGCCTCGGTGGGAGACGGCCGACTTGTTGAAAAAAAAAAAAAATTGTGTATATCTGAATAAACTTACTAACTCCCTTCCTTGGATCAAACTTGAATGCCTCCCATTCCCCAGGTGCTATATGACTCCTATGGGTTTTGCACTTACCCCATGAATATAATAGCAATAATGTACTCCTGTGTAAATGATTAAAGTATCAATAAAATTGATAAAAAATATAAAAGATATGTAAATGAGCAGAAATAAAACTTACCTAAATCTGTAGTAAAAGTTGGTGTAACATGAAGAGGAATTGGTAGTAAAAGATGAGTATGAGATAAATTAAGACAGACTTCATGAGCCTTGCTGTAAGGTACGAGCATTGGTTTTTGAGATGGACGGTGGCGGCAAGATTCAGCAATGATTTCCTCACTCTGCAGTGTTACGGAGTACTGTAAAGAAAGTCGAGACAATTATTCACATCTATAATCAAATAGGAATAGGTTTCACTGTTCTTAAAGAAATCTGCTGAACCATTTGAGATGTGTATGATACTGGGGATCATAACATTCACAATAGTGTACACTGACCCCATTGTTGTCAAGGGACATGTTTGCTACTTCTGTGTTCCCTTCAATTTGTAGGCTGCTTGATCCAGATCTTCCCAATCCTATCAGAATTTTACAACCTCTAGGATTGTTAGATCACTAACACCTCTGCTAACACTCGGGTCACAAATTACATAGTCTTTCTGGTAAGACTTGAGGTGACAAATTAACACATTAACCAGGCTTATTTTGTGACTGTTATTTTTATTCCGAGTCTAGTTTTTTTTTGGTGATAACACCTTTTTCTACTATTAAACTCCCTAAGAAAAAATTAAGAGGGCCCCGAAATAAAGTATGAGAATCACAATGACTTCAGAAAAAGGGAAGCCCCACATTTGGGTTTGGGGTAAGGCACGGGGATTGTTGGGATAAAGTTAGAAATTTTAAAAGCAGGGGGGGAAAATTTTTTTGGGGTGGTTGGTGTATTTTTTAATAAATGTAGGGAAAAAAGGGTAAGGACCTAGGTTGGCAGACAGCATATTCCTTTGTAAAAAGGCAAAGGGGAAACAAAAGAGAGTGCAAAAATTTTTGGGGGGATAAGTCTGTTGAGTATATCTGGTAAAGTGTATGGTAGATTTAAATTATTGAAAAAATTTTAAGAGAAGGGAAATAGGATGCAAAATGAACAAGGAGGCTTTGGGAAAAGGTTTAGGGGGTGTGTGGACCAGGTGTTTAAAATAAAAAAAAATAAGGGGAAAAAGTATTTAATAAGGTTTAAAGGGGTTTTTGTGGCTTTTAAAGGTTTTTGGAAAAAGGCGTATAAACAGGGTGGTGGGGGGGCAATTGGCATTTTTTGCATTTGAAAGGGTTGTGGGAAAGGTGGGTTACTGAAAGCATGAAGATTTTTATGGGGATTGTGAGGCTCAATTTAGATTTTTGTGGGGAAAGAGGGAGTTTATTTCCCAGTAAAAGTGGGCCCTTTAGAAAAAGGTTTTGTGATGTCCCGGGGGTTGTTTAATATTTTTATAGAGGGTTTTTTGTAAGAAAAGTAAATGCGGGGTTTTGGAAAGGGCCCGTGGATTTTAAAAGATTTTTCACACAAAAAAGTGGGATTTGTCACATTTTCCCTTTTTGGGCTGTTGACACTGTGCTTTTGGGGAGATTCTGAAGGAAGTTGCGGGAATTTTGGAAATTTGGAATTTGGTAGGGTATGAAAAAGGGTTTGGGGTTGCCCAGCAACCACCCGGGGAAAGAAACCTACCGTCCTCCCCAGATGATTGGGGAAAAAAAAACCCTGTAACTTTTTGCTGGGGTAGGATTGCGGTTTCTTTTTCTGTCTCAAAAAACACGCTAAGTTTAAAGGGAATTTTGCTACTTTTTACTTACCCCTTTGGTCACACTTCACAGACACGCACATGCAAATAATATATACATACTCTAGGTTTTTCCCTTTTTCAAAATTTGGGCCCCTTTTTCTTTTTATTTCTTCTATTGTCCAGGGGGGTAAAAAGAATTTTTTCCCCCTTAAGCCATGGGTCGTATGAGGCGACAAAAATCCCGGGGAAGCAATGGGTAGAAACCCCCCCCTTCTCCGGGATACAATTACTAAAAAAGAGAAAAAAAAAAAAAACTTTATAAAACGGGTTGCTTAAATGTGGGGGTGTATTTGGGGGATGACAAAAAAACAATGATTTGATGTTAGAATGAAAAGAATTTGGATGTCCTGGCCCAAAAGCAAAAAAAAAAAAAAAGCAAAAAAGGCGGGTGGGGGGTTTCAGTGGGGGGAAATAAAGGGGTTTTAAAATTTCGGGGAGTATCTGGGGAATTTTAAGAAAAAAGGGAAAAAGGGGTACAGAAATGTTAAATGATATTTTATGGAAGGAGAAAAGGGGAATTTGAATGTTTTAAAATTCAAAAATTTTGGGGTTTAAAAGTAAAGGTTGGGAAGCAGAAGGGTCTAATAAGCTTTGTATGCACCTGGAGAAGAGGGGGAAATTTGCAGAGGAGAGAAGAGTTTTTTGGGAGATGTTAAGTGAATGTTTAGGAGCCTTTGAACCAAGGGGAAGGGGGTAATTGTGGTAGGGGATTTGGGAATCTAAAGTAGGGGGAAACTTTAGAGAGGGTGGGGTTTAGGTAATTTTGGGGGTTGCCGGGTTGTAAAGGGTTTAATGGGACCCCTTTGATTGAACTTTGTATAAAAAGGGGTTTAGTTATAGGAAATAAAAATTTTTTAAGAAAAAGAGGATAAATAATATACACGATATGATGTAGGGCGAAATGACAGAGTTTTTTTGGGATTAGGGTATTGGAAATTAAAAAACTGTTGAGTAACTTCAGGATGTCCCATGTTTATGGGGGGCCCACAGATATATCAGTCACTTTCTATTTGAAAGCTACACTGAGAGAAAAAGGTAAAAGGGATACAAGGAGAATAGAAGCATCGGGGAAGAGAGGGGTAAAGGGTTTTTTAAACAAAAAGAGGAGGAAAATTTTTGGGGTAAGTTATAAACAGCTTTTGGGAAAGGATAAAAGGGGAAAATGAGGATAGGCAAGGGGGTCGAAAAAGGAAATGGGGTGGGTTTTAAAAAATGAAAGTTTTTTAGAGTGTTGGGGCAGAATTTTGGGTTTAAAGGGAAAGTGGGTGCAGGGGGAAAAAGGGGAGCGTTTGGTAAAAATAAATTGATGTAAAAGAGTAGTAAGGAGAAAAAGTTAGCATTTTGAGAAGTTTTTCCCAAAGTAGAAGTGATGCAAGGGGGGAAGATTATATGGAAAAAAGGGAAAGTTAAGAAAGGGGGGAAGCAATTAAAAAGAGGCAAATGAGAGAGTTTTGGTGGATTTTAAATCAACAAATTTTTTTAAAAAAATAAGAAAAAGTTTTGGGGTGAGATTAAAAATTTAAAAAAAAGCCTAGAGAACAAATGGTTTTTGTCGTTAAAAATAGGAGGGGGAGTTTTTTAAAATTGGGGGGTTAAAAGGTAGGGGAAGATGGAAGGAATATTTTGAGGAATTGTTAAATTTTGATGAAGATGGGAAGCTGGTGATTTGTGTATAGGGAAAGGGGAAAATAACATCTTGTAGGAGGGGAGGAAAAAGCCGTTGGGAGTGGGGGGGGAAAGTTCGGGGGAGGAAATAGGGTAAAATGAAAGGGGGTAAGGCACCCGGGGTTGGGGGATAAAGATAGAAATGTTAAAAGCGGGTTTGGGATATATTTTGGGATTTGGTTGGTGAAAATTTTTTAAATAAATGAATGGAAGAAGGTAAAGGTCCCAGGGTTTTGGCAGAGGGGCCTGCATATTTCCCTTTTGTAAAAAAAGGCCCAAAAGGGGAAAAAAGAGATTTGCAAAAATTATGGGGGGAAAAGGGGTCTGTTGATTGAAACCTGGTAAAGTGTATGGTAGGGGGTTATAATTGAAAAAATTTAAAGTAAAGGGAGAATGGGATAGCAGATGAAAAAAGGGAGGCTTTGGAAAGGTGGGGGGTGTGTGGCCCAGGGTTTACGTAAAACATATAAGTGAACGTTTTTAGATAAGGCAAAAGAGGTTTTTGGGGCCCATTTAGGGGTTTTGGGAAAAAGGGGGTATACAGGGTGGTGGGGGGAAAGTGGCAAATGTTGCAAGTTTTAGGGTGTAGGGGGTTTGGGTTACTGAAAGCAGGGGAAAAGTTTTTACGAGGTTTTGTGAGGCCAAGTTAGAGTATGTAGGAAAGGGGGAAAAATTTTTTCCCGGGTAAAAGTGGGCCCTTTAAAGACAAGGATGTGTGATGTCCCCTGGTTGTTTAATAAAATTTAAAAGAGGGGGTTTGTAAGAGAAGTAAATGCGGGGTTTTGGAAGACCGTGGAGTTAAAAGATAAAAATCACACAAAAAAGGGGGGAGTTTGCACAGCTGCTCTTTGCTGATGACCCCTGTGCTCTTGGGAGATTCTGAAGAAAGTTGCAGAGATTGGGGGAGAATTTGGGGGGGTGTGCAAAAGAAAAAAAAATTAAAAAAGGTAAAACCGGGAAAAGGTAAGGTTTGGGGATAAAAAAAAGATTAGGTGATGAAAGATTGAAAATAAATTGGAGGGAGAGAGAAGGAGGTTGAACTTTTTTCGATTTTTGGGGAGTGGACGGTCAGAAATTTGGGTCATAAAGATGAGGTGAATTAAAAATTGAGGGGGAAAAAAGATGGGTTTGGTGCCTTAGGATCTTGGAGACAAAGAATTTTGGCCTTGGGGGCAAAGGGGGGGAATGAAAGAGAGTATATTTTCCCAAAAACGCCTTATATGGGTGTAAAGCGTGGGTTTTTAAAATGTTGCAGCGGGAGAAGGTGGAGCAGTGGGAGTCATGTCTGGGGGGGCAATGTGGGGTTTGTGAATTAATGAGAGTTTTTCGTTTTTGGAATTTGGGGAGGGGGTTGGGGTTTTAAAAAACTGTTGTCCAGGGGGGCTGGGAAGGGGTTGAGGTGGTTCGGACATGTAGAGAGAATGGAGCAAAAACAAAAGGGGGGCCCCTTCAAAGTGTACCCGCTTTTAGTGGAAGGAAGGGGGGTAGGGGTCGGCCTGGGAAAGGGTTTGGGGAGGGGGGGAAAAGGAGGTTTTTGTGGCGAGGGGTTGGACTTCCGGGCAGGCATGCGGGGAGGTGTTTGATAGGATAAAGGGAGACAAAGGTTTTTTTAAAAATTGACGTGCTTTTGGGGAGGTGAGCAAAGTAACATTTTTTAAGGGTTTTCGGGGAAAACCGGGCAGGCCGGCTTGAGTCCTGGGGGGTTTGGGAAGTACATTGTTTGCACTTAAAAGGGGGGTTTAATTTTTGCATTTTTAAAAACTGTAGGAAAAGCCCCCTTTTGGGGCAAAAACAGTGATGGGGGTGAATATGGTAAAAGGGTTTTTTTTTCCCCGGGGGCCACCCTCCTTGGGGGAATGGGCC